TCATGTCTGACGCTCCTGTGCCTCTCCATCCCTTCTTCTTAATCTCCGCTGTGAAACTAGCTGAGTATAATTACACCGGAGCATGTCATTCACTTTCCCCGGCCATCATAGCGTTCAAACATCTGTCACCTCCCCTCCCCCTTCAGCTGACACTAGATCAGGTTTAAAAGGTGGATGCAGAAGGAGAGATACACTCATAGCCGATTCATTCCTAGGGTCCAGTAGAAACACCTTTTGTGATATACACACCACCACCTGTAACACCTTCATCACTCTATAGGTAGAAATGTCCACTTCAATTATTGCAGGAACAGAGGAATCACACTAAACACAACTCATCTCTTTGCTGCAGATATTTGAACACAAAGTTTAGTACTAGGGGATATTGGACTGTAAAGAGAGCGTTACTCTATTTGAAACTTTTTTCTAGCTATTCTAAAACCAGAAACACAAGCAATAGTTCAAAGATTTAGGCTCCACTTTGTTTGAAAAGTGATTGGGACCCTTTTTCCAGATACAAATCAAACTGTATTGCGCGCCACTTTTTTTTTTTTTTCACACATCTTTTTGCTGTCAGCAACACCTGTAGACACACAGTTCACAGTGTCAGACTATACACTATTACATGTGTGGCGGGGCGGGGGGGAATATTGAGGAAGCTAATAATAATTTGTATAGCACGTTTCATGAATCACATCCAGCAAAAAAAAACACAAAAAACATGATATAACAGCAAAAGGAATGGTAATATAAATAAAAAAAATAAATAATAAAATCAAATGAAAATAGCACCAAAATAAGACATTAATAATAATAATAATGTAAATAAATAAAAGTTAAATGATTTAAATACCAACTTAAAAAGGGAATGTTGCTAATAAAGTGTTGCATGTGTACAAACCAGACAAAAAAATAAAAATGTACTTTCCAATAAGCCCACATCACAGAGCTCATACAATCAATTGATCAATAAATATTCTTTAAATCAGTCTACAGTTAAGTGAATAAGTTACTTTTTCACGACAAAAGAGAGTGATTTAGAAATCTGAATGTCTACTTTTTCGCATTAATGAACTATAAGAAGCATACAGGCATCCATAATGTTTCCACACTGTTTGGTGTGAAGCCCAAATAACTATTTATAATGATATTTCACTTTCATAACATAAAAACAAACATAATGAGCAACCACATCAATTCCTGAGACCCAACCGCCTCCTCAATCTCCCCCTCCTCACTTGGTACGCTCTGCTCTACCTCCACATTACCCAGAGGCCGACCCAGGGGGCACAATTATTCAGGCCTTTGCTCGGCCAAGTAGAAGAAATTAGCCCCTTCTCCTGAACCAAGACCTTCTAACCTGCACCAGGACCGGGGGGGCTGCCTCTCTGACCCCCTGTGTCTCCCCTCTCCAGACCTTGTTTTCCATACATATGAGCCCACGTTGGCCGGAGCCACGCTTGGCTGCCATACTGGCTCTTTTTGCCCTCGGATGGCAAGCTCCCGGCTATAAAATCCAACACCCCCACACCTCTGTTCCCCCCCTCCTGGAAGGATGCTGGTGGGCTTCGGGCTGACGATGTGCTTTTACAACAATTCAAGAAAAAAAGATGAGATGGCTGAGACGTGTCATTCTGTGCAAGCAGGAGCAAGAATATAAAATTAATTTAGGGACAGGAATATCATTTACCTAGTGCAGGCTACATTTCAGCTTTCAATCAAAATTAGAATCAGAAACAGGTTTATTACCAGGTAGGTTGACACGTACGAGGAATTTGACTTTTTTTTTAAACAGATAGAAAAACGATTTTAATAAAACTAGCGGGGTACCATTAAAAAACCAAACACTAAATGTAAAGATTGAAATGGAATTGGAATAAAATATGTGCAGTAGCTACTACAACAACAAAACAAGATATTTAATCTTGAATCAAATAACTGCAGGTCAATATCTAAATGGGCAATTATGAAAAATAAGTTATGTAATGAATGACTGAGTATGTTCTCGGGGTGTAAGGGCAGAGCATAAGAGCTGCTTTTATTCTTATCATTTCTGGAATTTGCACCCTTCTTTTTCCCCGTTTAAATCATTTTGAGTAGCAGGTGATTTCATTTCCCATTTCTGTGCTGACCAGTGGCGAGCCGTCAGGGCCCTAAGATATTCTACAAAACAATATTTAAAAACATTACAAAAAAAATATTTGTTTTAATATTTTTTTTTAATTATATTTTTCATTAGTTTTACCAAAAATAACTTGATTCAATTGTATTTAAAATAACATTTCCAAAGAAATAAATTCTTCGAATCTGCCTATTCAGTTTTGGTTGGAAGGTGAAGGGTTAAATGAAAGAAGCTCGTCTCTGCGAGTTACTGTGAAGAGAGGAGCTGTTGGACGTCCAGGCGGTCCAGCTATGAATTCACAGAGGGCCCAGCTATAGTAACTGAACGAGAGAGTAATGTCAAATGACAGTACAATTGACCAATCATATCTTCCCTCTCGTTCAGTTACTATAGCTGGGCCCTCTGTGAATTCATAGCTGGACCGCCTNGGGGGGCATGCAGATCCACCATCCCCCCTGGCTTTTTTTTACAACTTGACCACTGGTTGTATGGATACTGGTATTGAATCTGTATAACAACATTCAGAATCAGAAATGCATATTTTAAGACCATTCATCGTCATGTATTCAGACAATAATGCAAACCCCTGCAGCCCACACGTTTCTTACTTAAGATAGACTTTCTGACCGGTTAACCACAGAGGAAACAATATAGAGTTAGAGATAGGGAATTCCCAAGAGTCATTGCCTAACTGTCTCCACAATTCTGTGGCACAGGTTTTAATTTTGTATGCTAGGATAAGTAGGCCCACCTCACAGGAAACCCAAGAAATTAAACATAAAAAATGTGCCTTACCCCAAAATGGCCCCAGCCAATGCTGCCTCTGCAGTCTGCACATATTGAACTCAATCCAAAGTCAAGCATCAGACCGAGTTACATTTTTTCTTGACTTTCAAAATCAATGTTTCCTTTGTATCCAGCTAAAGCTCTGGCTGTTTTTCAGGAAATTTAGGAAATGGCAAAGCTTTTTTAGGGTCCCTTTTACTTTCTTGGGGTTGTTTTCATCTTTCTGTTCCCACAACAGCTGCTCTCCCCCTCTCTGTAAATGTGTCTCTCCTCACACAGACCCTTAGACGTCCTGCATCAGCAAAAACCTCATAATCACAACATCTCAATCCACAGCATTCTTTACTAAAGCCACAAATTAAATTTGAACTCATGATACAGTAAGACTGGCGACCTAACTCTGAAGCAATGCTAAATGCTTCAACCTCAGATAAGGACTATGGGTTCATTCTAAGTTCTAAATGTAGGTCAATAGCAGCTAACCTATAGTAACTGGTGGTAGTAGCAAAGATATGTATCATTGCTCAGTTTTAGCCGTGCTAGCGGCATGGCTCTGATGACAATGTTAGTTGGTTGTTCTGCCACTTTGGATACAGATTTTGACCTTATAGTCTTGCTCGCCAGATGACCAATTCTTAAGACTTTGGTGATCCAAGGATGTTTTGTTTAGTGCCACCAGGAGGTTGAAAAAAAAAATGAAGGAATGATGATATTATATGTATTCCCATGGAACTTCATACACATTCATCTCCCCCTTAGATACTGATCTAATCTATCTTTTCATCTAGTACTCTTAAAAAGTAAATGTCAAACACTGGTTAATGATACAAAAATTGCAAAACTAATGACATTGCCAACAGCCTCAGCTCGAGCCTGTTTTTTTTACTTTTTATCAAACATAAGCATGCTAACAAACTTAAATAAGACGTGAACATAGGCATAGCATTGTCATTGTAAGCCTGTTACCAAAAGGATGTTAGCATCTAGCTCAAATCACACCTGTGCTCTAAATGCAACCTCACAGTTTTCTATTGTTTACAATTTAAGGCACCACATACATCAATAACTTTGATATGTTTGTTTCCATGGGTTAACATGTGGTGACCTTGCAGAGCTGTCAGTTTGAATTCCATATCACATTGTCCCAGCCACCATCCCATGTGTTCTGTGTTTGAACAGAGCCTCTTCTTGACACTACTTTAATGTGTGCACTTTGAGACACTAAATATAAGCCTGAACAGTGAGAAACTGTTTCCCCATGGTCTTTGCCAATCTCTGTCAATCCGTCTGTACACTTTGTATATCTGCATGTTTCCTTGTTTTGTTCCCGTAAAAATAATTCCTTTCCTCCACTTTTGGCTGTACAGACTGCGGTTCTCTCCAGTGCATAACTCTAAACCTTGACTTCTGTTCAAAGTTGATTTAGGAACTAAAACCAACTGTTTGGACTCTTTTTTCCACTCCAGCTCCCAGATCTGTCTGTTCTTTTTCTGCCTCCAAAGACGTCCTAGAAAAAGTTCTAAGATGTGTTTTTAAGTTTGTATGTCTAAGTCTTTGGATTTTAGACTGCTTGACTCCTGGTCTTTGTCCAACAGCAGCAGGGTCACAGTTACATTGTGGCATCTAAGCCCGGTTGTGTGGTATGTGGAGCCAAAGCTCATAGGATGAAACAGCTGCCAGGGGCTTCATGCAAGAAAGAAAACTGGTATGTTAACATGGAAAGGTTAAAATAGAAAGCTGTGTGTGTGTGTGTGTGTGTGTGTGTGTGTGTGTGTGTGTGTGTGTGTGTGTGTGTGTGTGTGTGTGTGTGTGTGGCTTAAGTGTAAATCAAATGTAAGTATATTCCAACTTTTAATCTTTAAAAGTCAACTTAGTCTCTTGAAAGCCTTATTAGTATTCAGCACAGGCTGATAGGTCCACTCTATGCAATTTGTTAAATCACTTTATTGTCAAAAGCTACTCGACCCTGAATTTAAATAAGCATGTCCCAAATTGAAAAACTTTCGAGGTCAACATCTAGCATCTATCCGATCCAACTGTCCACCGATGAGATGAGTAAGATATATGAGATGAATATTAAACCAGACCTTACCTGGTGGCAGCAGTTCTTTCCACTCTGTTTTGATGATGTGAGGGCGTCAGACACTACAGGCTGCTCTCAGCTCCGTCTGTCTGTCTCCTCAGAGGGCATGGGGTGCTGTCAGGGAGAGAGGCATGCCGCGGCTGTTTGGTGAATGCCTATGTGCAGCTCCTGCCATAACAGAAGCTGGGTTTGCTCGTGTGTAACAGAGACCAGGGTGGGGCTTGTGAGCATTAAGCCTTCCTACGATGAGGAGTCATAAGTGGGTGGCTAGGCGTAGACAGCCACACCCATTCCTTCAGACGACAGCAAATAGAAGTTCAGAGGAGTAGCCGGCCGGGAATGACAGCACTTCTTCTGGGACCATGGTGAAAACATGTCAATATATGGAGCATCTGGCAAAGGCAAGCAAAAGAAAGTACCAGAGTCACCTTACTGTGTACCATCCATAATCCTCTCAGATAACATCAGTGGCCACGCAGTGCCTCAAAGACCCCCCTCGGTCAGAATGTGTAACCCTACCCAGTGTTATTTGGTCTCTGTCCTCTATAATCAAGTAACGGGTGGAGAGCTGAGGGCTTGGTGTCTATGAGGGTTCGTTCTCTCAGTGCATACCTCTCATACTTCATGGATCCACTTTCAACCCACAACACATCTTCCTTTGGGGCAAAGCCATCATGCCAGGAAAGCATTTCTTCTGCTCCTCTTAAAGGCAGTGGACCACCCAGACCATCTACAAACAACCTGTATCAATTACCATGATCTATGGGTGTAACTTTTTTCCATGTGTCATCAGCATTCATATTGTCGCTTTATGAACAGTTAAAAGCATTACACTAGGAAATTCTTCAACTCTCAATTTTGATTACAAGGAAACACGATATAGGCATTTAAAGAAAAAACAATGAAAAGATTGTTATGTACATCATACAATAGAGCCTACAAAATAACAACATAGCCAGGGTACACTGGGCCGTCCTTTATTAAAGAGAAGGATATAATGCTGTCCCATAATTCCTTGCGGCAAACGGTTTTGGAATGGAAACCTTACTTGAATTGTGCAGCATGGTCATTGTACTGAATTTCTAACTTTAAAAAAAGCATCATTAGCCAAGTATAGGTTTTCTCTGGTTACTGTAATTGTCTGTTCTTAAATCCCTTGGATTCGCCTTCACATCTGTCTTTGACCACGTGACTTTTCGAACAAGTTCAAGAAAAAGTGGTAAGGAGGTAATGATTCAAATACTGCTAGCTAAGTTATTTGCTAAATTAATAGCTAAATTATTAGTTAGCTAGCTAACATTGTGAAGATGATCATTTTTAAACCAGCTAAGCCGTGATGCATGATAGTATTAACCACTGTTTGCAACAGGCTTGGGCAGTAACAGATTACATTTAACCAGATTGCGTAACCAGAATAAGTGTGAATCAATACGCCGACTGACTGAATTTGCATTATGGTTACTACTTTGGTTCATTTAATTTTTGTTATTCAGTATGTGAACGCATATGTTCATAAAATAGTGTGTGTGAGCTTAACTGTATTAAACTAAAACGGACCATTTTTTGTTAGCTTTTATTTTATTTTTGCTTTTTTAAACTGTAGTATGTGCTCATGTGTTTCATTGTTGGTGTATAAACTACTGCCTGAATATGCTGAGGACACATTAAATGTTTCTGTTGTTTTATATAATACACTACAAGGGCACCTATTATGCAAAATGCACTTTTTGATGTCTTTTATACATAAATATGTGTCCCCGGTGTGTAATTATTACTGGCCTCGTGCATCTCCTAATCGTTATAACCGGCCTGCTCTCGTCTATCCCACATGCTCCACTGAGGTCCAACATCTAGTTACAGGTGGCCTGTGGAACTGCCAGTCAGCTGTTCCTAAGGCTGACTTCATCTCAGGCTACGCTTCCCTGCAGTCTCTGGATTTCCTTGCTCTCACTGAGACATGGATTACTCCATCCAACACATCCACCCCAGCAGCTCTCTCCACAGCATATTCCTTCTCCCATACACCCAGACCCACTGGCAGAGACGGTGGCACTGGTCTCCAGATATGATTGGTCAATTGTACTGTCATTTGACATTACTCTCTCGGAATATAAGGAGGGAGAGCGAGACGCAGTCGGGTAAACGGATATTTATTTCACACAAGGTTCCCGAGGTGGCTAAAACAGAACAATCCCTCAACGGGCAAATGATAACTGGCAGGGGTCTGGATT